GAAGGAAGGAAGGAAGGAAGGAAGGAAGGAAGGAAGGAAGGAAGGAAGGAAGGTCAAGTCCAGTGGGAGAAACCAGGCAGGATCTCAGTGTGGACATCCAGGCAGCCTTAAATGTTAGGCAAACCAAAAACACAGAAACAGAACTTGCATTTTCTTGTGCCAATGCACATCTGACAGAAACAACAGACCCCTTCTAACAATGCCAGGTTTGATAAGCAAGGTTTTTTGAAGGGACACAAGCCCTTCCTTCCACCACTTCACTCTCTCTCTCTCTCTCTCTCTCACACACACACACACATACACACACACACACACACACACACACACACACACACACACCGGCAGGACACTCATGCTAGAATGGGGGGGGGAGCCCTCCATTTTCATTACAGAGTTTTAAATCTCTGGGAAAGTTATTTTCTGCTGTGCCGCAGAAGCACGGAGATTGAACCCGCACCGTTAGAGGCAGTTCAGCCACGCGGCACACATGAGTGTGTGTGTGGGTGGGGAGATGATGAGTGAGAATTCAAGCATCTTCTTGCGCACAGCGTTCCCACGGACCCCTCTGGAGACCATTTAATTATTAAGTACGCAGTGGGGGAAGAAATGGGTCTCTAACGGCTCGTGGTCATTATAGCTCCTTATTCTCCCACAAAGCATTTTCTCTTCTCAGCAGAGATGACAAACACACCGCCGAGCATCACATCTCTAAAAATAAGCTGGCATGTATTCAAGGGCGATTATTAGTATTATTTTTTAAACTTTTACTTTCGTAGAGTTTTTTTTTTCCAAATAGCAAAACTGGTTCAGTGTAGCAGAAAGTTAAACTTTAAAGCAGGAAAAAAAAGTCCGTCCAAACAAAGGCATTCAGCCAATTGCTAAGAAAGAAAGAAAGAAAGAAAGAAAGAAAGAAAGAAAGAAAGAAAGAAAGAAAGAAAGAAAGAAAGAAAGAAAGAAAGAAAGAAAGAAAGAAAGAAAGAAACCTCTGTATTTTAGAGGAAGGAACTTATATATAAGTTTTTTCCTACATCTGAACACACTTCTTTTTTTAAATGCCGTTGCTACTACTCTTTCCCAGTTCCAGAAACCATTTTCTACTCAAAACGTCATTTGTGAAATGCAAAATGGATCAAAATGTTTGACAATTGGATTTTTCAGAAGGCCTCCCTTCTCCCCCCACCCCCTTCCAGTCTGCTTATTAGGAGCAGTTAATTCAAAGTGTCAAAAACACACCCAAGTCATACGATGCCTTCTACCTGCTACCAATGCAGCTTTCAAAAGATTTCCATAAATTTACGCACACAGACCGTGCCCTTCCAAACACCAAACGTCATCCTGGATGGAAGGGTGACATCCAGACTCTCTCTGCTGATGAGGACCCTCAACTACCTTCACGACCAAACCATGGAAGAAGCTACCCTCCAATCTGCTCAGTGGTCACAACTCTCTTTTGGCACAGTAGAAAGTCCGCCTTACACATGGTGGCTCCCAGGAGCCCTACAAGCCGTCAAGGAACATTTCGACGCTCTTTCCATCCTACGTGGAGTCCCATAGAAACGGTGACCAAATGGCCCAACGAGGCTGCAGGAAGACGAACTTCGATGCCCAACTAAAGCAACCCTTCGCAAGAAACAGGACCACCACAAATGTCTTATCAGAACATCACAGAGGAAACAAGAGAAGAAGAACTTTGGACCGTTGAACTCCCGAAATCCCACCACCAACGCGGCCACTGCATCTGCTGACAGCGAAGGTCATCGCAGCCACTGCATCTGCTGACAGCGAAGGTCATCCAGAAAAAGTCCCTCCCCCCTCCGAAGACTGAGGACCCGAATGTGTCAAGGTTGTATCACACAGTAGTTAGAGCATCGCTTACCTCCACCCCCTGCACCTTCAGCTTCATGTGGTCTTCTCGGGTGGTCTTCCCGTCTTTCCGCTTTTTCCAGCAATATCCATCTTTCCTGTATTTCACTTTCTTCCTGTTGTAGAGGATCATAGAGCCATTTTGAGGCCTGGAGGAAAAGGGGGAAGAAAGGAGAGGACTCAGCAACGGTGAGAAAAAAAATCCGTCAGCCTCGCAGCAACCCCCGTGTCGAGCCTGTGAAAATGAGCCATCATGGAGGTAGTATTGCAAACACAGCTTCCAAAGCATATATATACACACACAAAACCCAACAATGACAACTCTGATCAAGGAAAACTGTTCCTGGTTGACAGTTCTTTGTGGAGAGAGGAACCACACGATGTTTAGGCCATATAATGTTCAGGCTGAATCTGCCCCTGAAGGTGGATGATGGGCCCATTTCAGGAAGGCAGCTTTCTCCAGGGGGCAGAGAAAAGTTTTCCCCACTAGCTGTGCTGCTCAGTTTATTAGGCTTTCTGTCATTAAAATAATGAAAAAGAGAAGTTTCCTGAGATCTTGGCAACTAATGCATGAAGTCTAGGATAAAAGCTGCTATTGTGGTACAACTAAGAGGGGGAACGGGATCAGGGGGCTCCACACCAGCATCCCACTGGGAGCAAAAGCCCCCGGCTGGAGAATGGCATCCCCTGTCCACCTCCCTCTCCCGGCACAAATCCTGTCACAGCAACAGACCATTAGCTGAGCCCCTTGAAGTCTCGTCTTCCCCTTGCTTGTAACTGGGGTGGGTGGGGATTTGTGTACATGGAACATTTTGACCAAAAGGGTGATGCAGGTTCTAACACACACCCGGACGCTTGCATCTGGAAGCACACACAAGCTTCCCAGGGCATCACAACCTGGTCCATGGTGCACAAGCTTTCCTCCAAAGTCACTAACACGCCCAGCATTTTCTCTGCACGGGGGCAGGAGGGCACTTGGCCACTCAGAAATCCCCTGCTCCAGTGGTAGGGCAGGATCGAACCAAGATTTCCTCCTGGATCGGCACAGCCAGAGACTGGAAAACCTGACCAAGCTTGGGGCGCAGCTCCCATTGCACCTCTGCCCGCATGGACGGAGAAGGAATACAGGCAGTGGAGGGATGGGAGGGTTGGCTGATGATTTCGAGACCCTTTTGAAAAGGCCTTTATGATTCCATCATTTCATCTACACATTTATCCACGTGTAGATAAAAGATAAGGTTGGGATTAGCTACAAGATAGGCCAGCGGCATTTACTTCTGTCCTACTATCGCAGCACCATTGAGAGTGTCCTAACCTATGGCATTCTCGTATAGTTTGGGAGCAGCTCCGTAGTGGACAAAAAAGCCCTACAGAGAATCATTAAAATTGCCTAGAATATCATCGGGCTCCAGCTATCAACCCTGGATGACATCTTCACATCCCGCTGTCTGAGGAAGTCACACAACATTCTTAGAGACTCTTCCCATCCTGCTTACAGCTTCTTTGAACTGTTGCCATCTGGCAGAAGATACAGAACAATTAAGACTCGGACCACATGTTTTCTGAATAGTTTTTATTTCAGAGCTATAATTGCACTTAATAATGAACTTAAAGACCACCAGTAGTGAATAGTTGGACAGTGTGACTTAGCCTGCGGTGCAGATGTTTGTATTTTTAGGGGGAGATTTTTAGTGGGTGGGGAGTGTTTGGGGATTTTGTGTGTGTGTGTGCATGTGGGTCTGGTCTCTGGGTGTCTGTGTGAATTTCGTTGTATGGGTATACTATGTATATACTCACAATGTCAATAAATGTATTTATTATTTATTAAGATTTTTGGGTGATGTTTGATTTGATTGGCAAAACCTGAGGGCCATGTTCCCTCTGGAATTGCAAGTGGCTTCCTCTGCTTTTGGTCAGCCTCTGTCCAAAAAAAGTTTATTTATTTGTTTATTTATTTAATGTCCACAATTCCCTTTTCTCTCAAAAATGTGCTTCTTAGGGGAACAGCTCTCAATGTCCATTCGAGATACAGCTGTATTTCTTCCATCTACTCTCTCTCTCTCTCTCTCCCTTTTGCTCAGTCTCTGTCCAAAAAAAGTTTATTTATGTGTTTGTTTATTTATTTAATGTCCACAATTCCCTTTTCTCTCAAAAATGTGCTTCTTCGGGGAACAGCTCTCAATGTCCATTCGAGATACAGCTGTATTTCTTCCATCTACTCTCTCTCTCTCTCTCTCTCTCTGTCTCTCTCTCTCTCCAGTTGCTTCTCCATATGGCAAATTGATATAATGCAAAAAAAGGCCGGCCTTGTGCCGCATCGGGAAAGGGATGCTGAGGCGAAAAGGAGAGAACAGAATTCCCCGGGAAGAGCCCATGTATCATGTTCAGAGAGCAGCCACGGAGATGGTTGCAAAAAAATTTATAGAAGTACATTAGTCACAGTAATTTGGCTTTGGAACATGAAGAACAGAAAGAAATACAACAACATTAGCAGTGGTTGCGACAATAAACAACTTCTCGGGGCTGGGGGGGGAAGAGGAAAGCTGGAGTTGGTGGCTTTCAAGCACGTTAATCTCTAGAAGTTGTGGAAAGTGAAGCAAAGAAGTTGATGGTGAAAGGGAGGCCACACTCCCAGAACAGAAACACACACACACACACACACGTGGCTTTCGAGCACGTTAATCTCTAGAAGTTGTGAAAAGTGAAGCAAAGAAGCTGAGGGTGAAAGGGAGGCCACACTTCCAAAACAGAAACACACACACACACACACACACACACACACACACACTTACTCCTTTTAGATCTGGGTGTTCAGAAATTACAATAGCATCTCTCTCTCTCTCTCTTTCTCTCTCTCTGGAAGCGTTCATAGAGCACGTTAATCTCTAGAAGTTGTGAAAAGTGAAGCAAAGAAGCTGAGGGTGAAAGGGAGGCCACACTTCCAAAACAGAAACACACACACACACACACACACACACACACACACACTTACTCCTTTTAGATCTGGGTGTTCAGAAATTACAATAGCATCTCTCTCTCTCTCTCTTTCTCTCTCTCTGGAAGCGTTCATACAGAGCAACCTTGGCCAGAAATCTCCTAAATGCTTTCACAGCATTTAGATAAACATGTTCTGCAGGTTTCTATGACTCGCTTCCAAAACCTACTTGACCTGTTTCATGCTTGCCTCAAAGGATGTGTCCTTCCATAATGAGTCATCCCGGCAGTTTACTAAACTGTGGGTGTGGGTGGGTGTGGGTGTCTCTGCCTGGGGGTGATCTTAGCTTATTTTCCAAGGAGCTTTTCGGCAGATCTGCTTATTCTTCCTGCTTCCAATCTGTGGGTTGTTGTTGTTGTTTTTCTCCTGCCTTCTGCCTAATGATTTTTTTACTACTTCATTTTTTTTTCCAGTTGGCTCCTTGCACTTTGACCTTATTGGCTCACACCACTCCCCAGGGCAGTAGCACTTTTAAGCCTTCCATGCTGGCCTTGGCCCCTTCAAGAAATATGTCCCCCAAGAACGGCAAGGTTGCACGCCCCAGCTGTCAGTAACAAAACCTCCTGAAAATCCCCCTTCTTTCCCTCCCAGTGCCTCTTCCTCCTCTGTCCACCGCTCTCTGTGACTAGATTACCCCTTGCAACAGATGCCCCTTCTGGTTCTCCAGCTTTCCCCTAATCAGTCTTCCTCCCCATTTGTGCACAGAGTAGCAATGGGGGATCATGGCCTTCCAGAGGGGTGTTTGATTTCTCTGGGACTACAGCAACTCAGCAACTGGCTAAGTGGGGCAAATCTTCCAGGACTGGGAATTTAAAAAAACATCTGGGGGGAGAAGGGGGCTCCCTTTCCCATGCTGGCCATAATGCCCCCGATCTTTAAAATCCCGTATGTCAGGGTGGAATCTGGCTAAAACCAGAAAAATAAATAATCTGTCATTGGCTATGGGACCACCCCTGAAACCTGCCAACACAGAGGGGCCCTTTAATAATATAACTTTTGAACTGCAGAGCTGGAAGGGGCCCTATGAGATCATCAAGTCCAGCCCCTCTCAAAGAGGCCCAGTGGGGGAATCAAACTCCCAACCTCTGCAGCCAGAGACCTCAACCATGCAGCTAGCCAGCCCTTTCACTGCTTCTAATAGCAGGTCCATTCATGTTTAACCTTTACAACTCTAGGTACTGGTCTCCGCAAACTCATTGGGACCCAAAATACTAAGAGTTGTAGGAACTTTTATGGAACCATACCATGGGCGAAAGAAGTTGTTCGTGAAAAAAAGAGTGAAAAACCCACAACAGAAAACACCAAATTAAGGAAGGACAATGAATAAAACAACCCCTGTAATGTTTCTTTCCTCCTGTTTGATTTGTGCCACTCCTGTAATGCCAATGCAAGAACAGGTGATACCTTTAATCAACCATTAAGAATATAAAACAAAAAAAAGCAGAAAAGAAAAAAAACAAAACAGCAAGCTTTCGATGATAAATCATCTTCTTCAAGGCTGTGCTCCAAGTTCTTGTGGGTTGTTCCAAACTTATATGCTGCTATTAATCTCCCAGATTCACATGGCTGATGATGTGGAGGCCAGGTTCGTTTTCTTAGATGGAGTGTGCCAGCTGTTTTCAGCTGGCCTTTTGGAATTTATGGGCCATCTCTTAAAACAAAGGACAGTCAAGCAATCTGGAGTGCCACACGTCCCCTTTTTTTCCTGCCTTTTCAAAATTCAAAGAATTTATTTTGTTTTTGGCCAAGGGAGGAAAGAATTCCTAAGCACATGTCCTGCCTCTAACAGAGTTGAGATTAGGAATTTCGTTAAACCATGACATCTACGTTGGCTTGGGCATGTCGTGAGAATGGCTGATGGTCAGATTCCCAAAGATCTCCTGTATGGAGAATTAGTGCAGGGAAATCGCCCCAGAGGGAGACCACAGCTGCGATACAAGGAGATCTGAAAGCGGGATTTGAAGGCTTTAAGAATGAACCTCAACAGATGGGAAACCTTGACCTCTAAGCGTTTGATCACGGCATCTCCCAATTTGAAGAGACCCTTGTCCAGCAGGCCGAGGCAAAGAGGCCGTCCCAAAATCAGCAAAATCAGGGAGCTGGACAGGGGACAGATTGGATTTGTCTTCAGTGTGGAAGGGAT